ATAGCACACATAAGGCACACACATATCCACAAATGCCCCCCGACCCTAATAGAGCAGACATAAAGGGAGGCTGCATCTGCCATGGCGACGACTGAATGACCGCCACATTGTCAAGAGAGGAACCTCGGGAGAGCAACAGAGAAGGACACAATAAGTAAACACAAAGCATTTCCCCGCCTCCACCTCCACATTTTTTGTTGCTACAAAGCACTTTTTTTCTCTCCAAATAACATGTCCTGCATGTGTTGGTTACATCAGAAGAATTTTAAGCAGCTAACTGTAAGCCCTTTAAGACCTCATCCCTGCTTGGGCATGTGTGAATGTACAGAAACACACACACACACACACACACACACACACCTTCCCACCACAAACCGCCTAGCCCAGCTCTCTCTCTTTGTCTCTGCAGGCTACTCCCCAAACCTCCCTCTCTCTTTGTTGATTTACGCGTGGACGTCTCTCCATCAAAGCCAGATTACTGCTCTCAGTGCTGCCTGGCATGGATCTCTTTGCACTTGGGAGTAATACCCCATGGCGGATTGACTCAAGAGGTTATCACATGATTCCCACTCTGTTTCAATTGTTTTGGCTATCTGTGTCTGAGTAAATGGCCATTTCAGGTTTCACAGCACAAGTGCAGTGTTTGTAGCAGTAACAACCAGGTTGAAGGTATCTGTGTGGATTAATGGCTTTATTTTCTTCCTGTGTAATTTCAGACAATATTGTGTTGTGCTGGCCCTAAAAATAGCTGAAATAACAGGGAAACAATTCTCATCTCACCAGTTTACGCATCTGTTGTGTTTCCAGACTGACTGTGAGTTTAGCCTTGATGGCTTCTTGGAAGTCACAGGGGACAAAGTCGGCTTTTCACTACTCTGAGATTTGCATAACGTTGGCCTGACACCTAGTGGATACAATAATGTTGGTCTGAAAGAGGTATCAGCAAGAGGCTAAAAATTAGATTGAATTTCTCATCTCCATCTGTTTTCTCTAAATCAACAATGCCTCACATGATTCAGCTGCAACATGACATCGCAGTTAACTTTTCTTGAAAAGATAAAGAGTGTGTGGGATTTAGGTGCATCTATTGGCAGAATTGATATAGAATATTCACAACTATGTTTTCATTAGTTTATAATTACCTGAGATTAAGAATCGTCATGTTTTCATTTTCTTAGAATGAGACGTTTATATCCGGAGTGGGTCCAATTCCATGGAGTCCACCATGTTGTTTCTAGTAGCTCAGAATAAACATATCAAACACTGGCTCTAGATAGGGCCAGTCATATTTTCACGCTTTCACATTGGCCACCGTACTTCCTCTACATGCTTGGTACACAGAAATTTTAGTTCTGCAGCCTCATAGCTAGATGCCACTAAATCCTACACACTAGACCTTAAAGTACAATATAGTCCACTGACACCTTGAGGTTTTCATTTTGAACTGATGTTTAATTTAAAAATGGGATAAACTGTACATGTTCAGGAAAGTCCATACCAATCGTTCAGGTCATTTAACACTTTACGATGGTACTGAACACCGGAGCCACAGCCATGTCATCTCTGAGTCAGCAAACAACGTCCAGTCACCACCTACAAATGCTTATCAATGAAAAATCAGCACTTAAGAACAGGGAAAGTTAAAATGTACAGAGGAAGAGGTCATGTCAATTTAAGGTTATAATCCCATTTTTGATGCTGTTCATGGCTGCTGTGATCATTAGATGTATTTACACTCATCAGATTCCTCTCTTTTCATAGTAGTTTGCATTGCCAATGGCAGAGTCCGCCATTCCTGTGCTGGATTCAAATGGTGTGCAAATGCACAAGAGATCACAGGAAATTATGTAAGCACGTACTGGACAAAACTAAGAAGACAGTGGCCAGTACATGCTCAAATTGCACATAATTTGTGCTCACATAATGACATTATCTGGAAGAGCAAAACAGCAGGTCCCGGTCATTTTGAAGAGAACAGTATAACAACTGCGACACACAAGCTGCGTGGTTGCTCATTTTCCTCTGTTGTATTTCCGACATAATAGCTCTTTAAACTGTGCTCCCTCTCAGCCTTGGTGATGAATGAATATGTCATTTTGAACTGAACTCTTCAAGTTGAATTCTGATTCCTTTTTTTCGCATTACCACCAGTAACCACAGGTGCCGCCAAATCAACCAGAATTGAAAATTTTAAGGGCTTTACTAGAAACTTATAGGGACATATATCGGTCAACTCTAAGTCTTTATAAAGCTTTATACTGACCTTGTATAGCTCAGATAACAACCCAGTCCCATTGGCCATGTATGAGTCATCGGGAAGGATGGAGGTGTGAGAACTTTTTTAAATACATAAATCGGTGGCACAAATCACAAGCCCTGGCGAGTCTTCTTTGACTTTTCTGTGGAAGCGAGGCTTATTTGTGCCGTGTGTCTCAGCAAGTTTATTCAAGCGCAGAATCGGTGCCTGCAGGGCCAAGGCAAGTTATCTAAACAGATACGACAAAGTGACAAACCACTACACATCAGACCAAGCCTCAGTTTTATCACGAAACAAGAGGGAACAGATATAATTTAGGGACAGAAACAGGCACCATACTGACTGAGTCAAATGACAAAAGACAGCAGGATGAAGTGCTGATGAGAAGCTGAACACTTGATTGTCTGCAGGAAACCTCATTGCTTTTTAACTTTTCCCTTCTGGACAGTGGAATAGTACTGACCAGCACTGACAAAAAGGGTTTCATTCATGTTCACATTGATTTTCATAAAAAAGGCCTTAATTGAGCAAACAGAGACGAAAAGGAGTCATTATCTGGGCTTGTTTAGGGATGAGTGCCTCCCTTTCCTCTCTGTTTATGTCCAGTGATCTGTTTTCTTCAGCTCATCACAGTGCATTTAAATGATTTCAATACTACTCATATTTAATTGGTAAAAAACAAAACAAGGACTCCATATGCAAAGCAAAATATGACCCGCAGGCCTGCACTGAGCGCAATCAAATGAAGTCAAGTACAGAAGAGAAAATAGACTCAATGTGGAGTTACTGCCCATGTCACTTTCAAATAGTCTTTTATTTGACCAAGGAGAGATGTCTGCCCTTCACAGACACACACACACACACACACACACACACACACACGATACTAATCAGCAAGATCTAAATCCCCTGGGTATATGGCTCTATTAGACCATGTGCTTATGAGAAGATAATCATTTGGTGATATGAAGACACAGCGCCGGGCGGTGGGTGGCAACAGTGGTGCTGCTGCATGAAAATGCTCTGCTCCACACTGTGCGCCAAAGTCTTAACTTTTAATATAGTTGTTGCCCAAAGGCAGACAGTAATGAGTCCTTTATGTCAAGGTGAAGGAACAGAGATAGCAGACAATGTGCTTAACTTTAAAGGATGCGATCACAGCTTTGAATATGACAGTGTGGGTTATAAAATGACACTGCTGTCCTCCGGGCAAACAAGTTAAGCCTTTGCCCTTGACAGCACAGATCGATGAGATAGTTTTGATGTCGATTTAACGCAAGAAGGGCAGATATTAAGTTTTGACATTTGGCTGTGCGATGCAGTCAGGGCTGTCCTGAAAGTATAGATAACAACTTATTATCTTGAATTTAGCTGACCTGTTTATTGTGTATTTTACCTTGAAACACACCCTTGACCATCTAGAAAGTAAAAAATGCCAGGGAGTTAATTAGAAAGGGAGACACTTTTCCATAATTGCCAAACATACATTTTGTAGACACAAACACTAGATGGTGCTGTTTAGTTTTGACTGCTGGCTACATGACTGCTGGTTTGTCACATGTTGTGACCTCAGTTGTTAATATTACATGTATGTTTTCAGTCTGCCTTATAATATAGTTCATTTATTGTCATATTTGTGCTCCTGTGCATGTCAGCTTCAGAGTATCAATGCATGTATCTGCTGCAGTGTAGCCCACAAACGACAAAATTACAAACTGTCCACACAGAAAGCTGGGAAGCACAAGTAGTTTATGGTTTACGCTGGTGATTTTGTTGTGCAATCCACACTGAACTGCAGTGTAGTGGTCGTCGAAGCTCAAGCAGCTATTTATGTCTGATTTGCCGAGCTCTGTAAACAAGCCTGAGCACAAGAAAAACATGTCACATCCCTCATCTGTGACGACTGAAAATGCACTCTAATCTAGTTGTTTTTATGTAGCTGCATGTATGAAACAGACTGGCGAGCTTTGATTTCCCTCCAGCTTTAAGGAACAGGAACATTTTGGGATGCACTTCCATGAAAGCTTTAGTGAATACGCTTGATTTGTTTCAGGGAGCGTGAAACACATGAGACAGAAATGAGCTTAACATATACAAAGATAGGGAACACAGGCATCTGTTGCTGATGTACACTTAAATCAGGATATTCCTTCATGCTTATAGGATGAATACCATGTGTAAAAGAGAAGCCAAGAACATTTAGCAGTGCATCGTAAAACCACAGTCAAACTCATTTTCCTCCATTAACCTAAGCCTCTTGGCAAATCTGAAACTGAGCTCGTGATGACTTTGTTGTGATGCCAGCAGTTATGGTATGTTTTACATGGGGTTGCTATCTCTGTGTTTATGTTGCTTCTACAGTAAGATAATCCTGTTTTTGTATCTCTGTGTTTTCAACAGTGTGAGCAGCCAGCAAAACGGGTGTTATCAAGTATCAGTGCTGTTTTTGCTCCTACAATCATGTGGCAGACAGAGATAGAGATGATGGAGTGAATAGGAATGCAAGTTATCGAGAAGAAAGGAGAGATCAGAACACGGGAAAGTACAGGAGGGAGTGTATGATATTACAGGAAGAGTGAGGAAAGAGTAAGAGGAAAGACAGAGGTTAAGCGAGGGAGTCAGACATATACTGAGAAAAAAACCCTCTAATGTGTCACATGTGAGTCTGCAGCCGTGTTGCCAAAGAGAGGCTCTATTTTTAGGGGAGGTATGTACACAGAGGCCTCGTGGAAAGAGACCATAACAAAAAAAAACAGAACGCAGCATGCTCCTACAAAGAGACAGCCCCCTTTAGAACATACAGTCACACAGCATCAACACGAGAGCAAAGAGGAAGAAAGCACAGGAAAATGTCAAGGCATCAGATTTTCTGCTGAGATCTGGCTTCAAGAACAGAGACAAACGCATAAAGAGAGAGAAGAGGAGCAGGTAGGAGAAGTATTACAGCATGGCTGTCAGGGGCATCAGACTTCATATGTCCAATATGTGATATTGGCATGGCTTTGAATATATCTGATGTAAATATTAATCAAACAAAAGATTGTTTTTATACTTGGCATACACGGTAAAGTAGAACTTGTGTTTAGAAGCATTGGTTAAAGCTTACATATTGTGTTGTGCTGCCTTAAATGTAGACTAATATATTTATCTGTGATATTTTGCACATTCTGCACTCATATATAATACATGCAACGGAGTGGGAAAAAAGCAGCAGTCACTTTCAAAAGCCAAAGAGAAAACAAAAACAGGCAGCACATAAAACACCATCACTCGACAGAAGCGTCACTTATTCCATGAGGATGATGAACAGCAATCTGGCAGCAGAAAGTTTTGTCAGGTGTTTCTGGAGTTATCTACTTAGACGACCAGTCTCCAAAATAATCAGATAGGTATTCTGTCGGCCCTGTTTGTAAAAGATTGCAGCAGCCCTGAATTGGGCCCATATGCCCGAAGGCAAAACTCTAAAGTCATTTAACAAAGTTAATGTTTTAGTCATGAGTGGAACAGGTTTTAAAATTATTTACAGGCTGTGGTTTGGGGCAAAGCTTTTCAAGAATATTTACAGGATAAACTTTAAATAAATATTAATACAAAGAAAGTTTGTAAACCAGCTGCCATGTTGGGAACAGTTGAACAATAGGCCACTAAGACTGACTTTAATTTACAGCTATAGACTAAGCATATAATTATGTTATAGATGCTATTGACTGTTTTACAAATAAAGAAAAAATAAACATAATTGCCATTTTCAAGGGCATATAAAGTAAATGACACTGTTTTAAGTTAATGAGAGTTCTTCTTTGGACACAGGCATATTGTCAAGGTGGCAATCACTCATAAAGGCCCATTCTTCTCTCTCTACAGGCCGCACTGCCTGCACTGTCTATATTTACATCCCTGAGTACAATAAAATATGTTTCTGAAAACTTTTGAGATGAGAAATAGGCAATGTAGTAACAGAATCTTGATTCATATTTGATCAATGCTGCCTAGTCTGACTGCAGTTTATGAGCAGTAATTAACATAATTAGCAGTTGTGTTAGAGACTGCTCGGCTCTGACTGGTTGTTTTCATACAGTGTGGTAAGGCCATTACAAGCGCTAAGGCAATTTAGTAGGCAGGGAAGTATTATTTTTTCACAATTAGAGTTAGTGTGTGTAAATATAGTGACAGTTTCAGCATAATGAAAAGTTTTTTTGCAGAAATTACCAGCTACAGCTTTCATGGTTGATAATCTTTTATTTTACAGCAAGCCCTCAAATGGCCACTAAATGAGCAACCATGTAGCTGAAAGGCTTAAATTAGAAATTGTGACTGCTCATGCAGGTTGATGGAGGAGGCTCAAGGTTAAATTATTTAAAAAACAACAACAATAAATTAAAAGAGCCTGAAAACCAAATGATTTGACAATAACAATGTGGTCTCTCTTCTCAGCAGACTGGTCCGCAGTCATGGTCTTTCAGTACAAAGACAAGGAGCAGTCCTCCAACCTGCTCCTGCAGCTCAACAGACTGAGACAGGAGAACATCCTGACCGATGTGTCACTATGTTCGGATAACACAGAGATTCCATGTCATCGTAACGTCTTGGTCTCCAGCAGCCCCTACTTCAGAGCCATGTTCTGCAACAACTTCCTAGAGACACAGCAGACCAAGATTAACTTGAAGGGTGTCACATCTGCCATTCTGAGCAGAATCATCGACTATGTTTACACAGGACTCATCAGTATCAGCATGGATATTGTGCTGCCTCTGATGCAGGCGGCATCCATGTTGCAATATGGCCGCCTCTTTGAGGCATGCTCTAGCTTCCTCCAGGAGCAGCTGAGCCCTGACAACTGTTTGAGCATGATAAGACTCTCTGAAATCATGAATTGCAACAGTCTGAGAGACAAAGCAAAAGAAATGGCCATGAAGAGCTTCTCCGATGTGTCGGCATCGGAGGATCTGTGTGAGCTCTCCTTACCAGAGCTCATGGGATATCTGGAGGATGATGGTCTCTGCGCGGAGGAGGAGCAGGTCTTTGAGACGCTTGTTGCTTGGATCCACCATGATCCTATTTCCAGACGTGGTGCCATCAGTGACCTTTTCAAGAAAGTTCGCCTCCGCTACATCCATCCCACCTACCTCTTCCAATTCATTGCCAACGACCCTCTAATCCAGTCCTCCACCCTCTGCACCGAGCTCATAGAATCTGTGAGACGCCTGATGTTTTCCTTCAGCACAAAATGCATCGATAACACAGCAGCTGAATTCAAACCTCTGTGGGTGGCATCGAGGCGCTACTCCTGCCACGACATGTTGGTGGTGGTAGGAGGGAGGAAGAACAACGAGCAGACTTCGAGGGAGGCCCTCGTCTTTGATGAGAAGAGCGAGAAATGGCAGCGACTCGCCAAGCTGCCCATTCGTCTGTACAAAGCCTCCTATGTCGCCCTTCACAGTGTGTTTTATGTTATTGGAGGCCTGACGACAAACACAAAGCACAGCCAAGTCAGTGCAACCGTCTACACCCTCTCTCTCAAGACTAACCAGTGGCGGACTGCAGAACCCATGCTGGAGCCACGCTTCGCCCACCAGAGTGTCTCCTACCTCCACTTCATCTTTGTCCTGGGAGGCCTTGGACCAGATAAAAGACTGACAGGCAGTGTGGAGAGGTGAGGTGCACCATTTTTATCCTCAGTCAGAAACTTCTGTTGGTAATAGCTCACAACCCGTACAGTATAACACACACAAATGTGACAAATAATATCTCTCATAATGTTATCAGGTACAACAGTATGTTCAACCAGTGGGAGTCTGTGACACCTATGCCTGAGGCTGTCTTGCACCCTGCAGTGGCTGCTACTAATCAGAGGATCTATGTGTTTGGAGGGGAGGATGCCATGCAGAACCCTGTCAGATTAATACAGGTAGGACCCGAAGTCACTGTTTTCTGTGTTTTTATTGGTCCATTAATTCATCTATCCATTCATTCACTCCCTCAATCTATGTCCACTCACCCCTTCTTCATGCAGGTGTATCACATTGCCAGGAACATGTGGTCTAAGATGGAGAACAGAACAGTGAAGAATGTGTCTGCTCCTGCTGCCATTGCAGATGACAAAATCTACATCATTGGAGGTAGATAACAGTGGTGATAAGGGCTAATAATACATTTTTATTTTTAAAATGTGCACACATCGCACCTTTGATCCAGCTAAAAACAGCAGTCTAAAAAAGAGAACCACATTCATCTTGCTATAATTCATTGGTATTGATTTATTTCCTGATGAGAAATATCTCACAGCATTCTGCTTGAGCCACACATGCCGCCGCGCTCAAATGAATGTCTCCCTCGTCACAGGATACACCAGGAGAGTGATCGCATACGACACCAAGGCCAACCAGTTTATCAAGTGTGCCAACCTGAAGGAGAGGAGGATGCATCACTCGGCAACTGTCCTCAACGACAAAGTCTATGTCACCGGTGGACGTCACATCAATGGCCACAACGTCATCGAGGACTCTGACAGTTTTGAGTGCTATGATCCAAAGACAGACACTTGGACATCTAAGGGGACTCTGCCATGTAAACTGTTTAACCATGGCTCGCTGTCTCTGACACATGTCTCACAGACATGGGCGAAATCATAGATGAGGTCTGATTTCATTTTTTAGCAGATCCCCACTATTCCCACTTTCATGAGTAATAGACTTTTTAAAAGTCCCTGACTCACTAAATCAAGCATACCTCAAGTAATTAAAACATACATATATTACATTTATATGACTTTTTAAATACCTGAGTCATTTTTATACCTGGAAATATACTTTCCTGTGTTCCATGTCTTTTCTATGTTTTTGTTTTAACAGCCAAACCTATGCACACAAGCTGTCCTGCTGCACAGCCCTCTTCTCAACCTGTCTGACTCCACAAAGGGTGAAAGTGCTATTTTCAGCCCGCACTAAATCATGAGATTTCACTTGTCATGTTTAAATCCTGGGGCTGTGTACTGTTTGGTGCAAGTCAGAGCTGTGCTCAGCTGTTGGGTCTGAACCTGGTGCTTTGTCTGTGAACTTTTGGATCATTGTCTGTTACTGTAATGCAAAATGATGATGAAAGTATTGTGATAACATTGTTACCAAATATTTCATGCAGTGGTGAAATTAAAAAAAAAAAACATAAGAATTTGTTCAAAATGTAGCCTTAGGGAAAAAAACCTTTGGTATTGTTTTTAGCTTTTTTTTCCACTGCTGTGGACCCATTATCCTAGTATGATATAATGCACAACATATCATACATATCTACTTTATGTTTAAATAATGATGGGCGTCTTTGTTATGTGAATCTGAGGGTAAAAGAAAAGCCTCAAGATTAAATGTTACCTTTTTTTTTTATAGAGTTTTCTGATGTTTTTGTACTGCTTTTTCTGGTTTTAACTATCGTCTTTTTACAATAAAAATTTAAACCATACATGTGGCCTCTCTCTTCACAGTAGGCCCGTTTCCACCGCAGGAACTTCGGGGTAATTTTACGGGGCCGGGGCCGTTGGTGCGTGTCTCCACCGCAGGAACCACCCCCGAAGGACAAACTTTTACGGGGGCTAAACAAGTCCCTGCCTCGGGGTAGGTACTCAGAACGGCCCCGAAAGACTCCTGGCTGGGGCTTGGGGATTACTTGGTGCTGATTGGATATACTCAAGGAGGGATGTGATGTCAACAGAAAGCAACAAAATAGCCGGCATTTTTAAAACTCAGCAGACGAGGATTAGCTCGTTCATATAGCTTCCTCCGCCATGTAAAAAAAACTCACTAAATGGCCCGTGAAAAAAATGTTCTTTCCAGTGGATATCTTAGTTACAACATAATTGAGCTAGCAAAGCAGTTTTGTGTTGCTATGTGTGGTATTTACTTAGTTTTGGGAAATCACAATGTCTAGAAAGCATCAGTGGCTGCCGCTGACAGGGACAGCTAACAGCAGCAGCAAAGCTAACATCAGGACGTCATCTGTTAAAAGCCTCCCGTTGTTGGATACGACATGAAACTACTCCAGTTAGCTCAATCATGTTGTAACTAAGACATCCGCTGGAATTTTTTTTTTTTTCACGGGCCATTTAGTGCGTTATTACAGACACCGCTAAGGGCTATCAGCTAACGGCGTCCCTACGTCGCCCCGGTAAATGGTCGCGCAACGATTACATCACATCCAGAGCCCGTAACTTTACAGGAACCTTCCTCCTACTCCGCTCTCTCAGTGGAGACACGGCGGTTGAGAGGGCCAAGCGAGAGGACGTTCCTGTAGTAGTTCCTGTCCCCCAAATAGTACCAGGAACTTCTTCAGTGGAAACGGGCCTAGTCAGTTGACTGCAAATGCAATGTGAGCAGCACGTGTCCTGTATGTGTCACCGTGTGTCTGTCTGACCCTTCCTCACACTCCTGTCCACACAGGACCTTCACATGCCCGGGCAGGTTCCTGCCATCCACACACAGGGGCACACGGAAGATAGTATAGAGAAGGTATCATTTTACAAAGAAGAGCTTTAAATATTATCCAGTACGGAGAACATGCTGAAATGTGCCGCTCCATCTGTTGCAGGTGAAACTAAAGCCATGAGTGGCCCAACAGGGCTGACTAACATAAATGTTTCTGCTCATACAAATGGCACATGGTGATGAGCAGGAAAATGGGAGTCATCAAATCCAGATTTTGTTACCTGATTAGCCAGCAGGACAAAATATCACTGATGAAGTGTTTATGGGAGCCACAATTTAGATGGCTGAGATACTTTTGATTATGACATTCAAAGGAACTCTAAAATTACATTCATTACATCAATATAGAGGCAAACAACTACACACTGTGTGAAGATATAGTGGAGTAATGGTGTCCTGAGCAGAAAACAAAGTCATGCTCCCTCTGCGTGTGCTGTAATCCGAGCTTCTCTGATCGTTCTGGTCCAGACAGTCCAGCAGCGCATGCATGTTAGTGCATGTAAATTCCTGTGTGTGTATCCCACTGGCTAGCTAATCACTGCCACTCTGCTCTGCGCCCACACAGTGGTTACTGCTGATACTGGGACGCCATTGTTGCAAAAGCTGCTCAGAAATGTAAAGCTCACCCTCCATTGACATTGACACTGTTAGCTCTGTCAGCACCATTGCTGTTGTTAACACTATTTGTGCTGTTATCACCCATGGATGTATTAAGAGAACTGGATACAGCATTGAATGGGGGGCCCCATTCATTGGTATGAAAGTTGCTCAGTGGCGTGTGAGGCCAAAATGGTTTAACTGACACATATAAAATCACCGGGATAATCTGGGGATTATTGGCAGTACTTCTGCACGGTGTGGCCCATAGAGAATGCGCACTAGTGACTAATGGTGGCAAAGCGCAGACAAGTGTGGCTGAGTGCAGCCGAGCAGCTAACTTCCGCCAGCCAAACGGATAACCTCAGGTTCACTATTGCACAAACTGAATGGTGATAAAATGATGTAATCATGCAGTTCCTCTAGACTTTCCAAATGTTGTCAGACCAAATTAATTCAATCCTGATAGTGAAACTAGTCATTTCGTTACGATTATAACCTCAGAAAACTTTATCTACTGACGTCACTTTCCCAATTTAAGTTAATGGGAAAACATCTTTTTGGGCTGCAGGGCATCATGGCCTTCAAAGCCCTGTGCACTTCTTGGGGGCCCATTTAGCACTGTTAGCTGCTAGCCGCAGGCTCAGGCACCTCCATGTTGATAGCTATGTGTAGACAACCTCTGAATCATAGGAATGCACGAATGTTGGATTGATATCAAGCTCTTTAGTGGTAATATGAAAAGATGCAGGTAATTCAGAGTAAAGTCAGGATCAGCTAAAGTGATTACATAATTTCATTCATCAATGCCTTTCAGAGGCCAATGTCAGCTGTTTTTCGTGTGGAGTAAACACAGTGTGACCAGGAGGTATTACACAGGACTGCGTGCATTTCTTTGAAACCAAAAGTCACTGGGTCAGAGGTTTCAGTCGCTCACTGCCAGCGAATAGAGTCCAAGGGACAGCGGGTGGAGCGGGTGAGAAAAGGTGGGGGCCTGGAAAAACTATAGGTGATCTGGTGTTATTTTGAGAAACAAACAAGAGGCGAATGTTACACCACGTGAGGCGTGTGGTCCTGTTGGTTGCCACGGCTGGCAGATGTGAGAGGGCGAGAAACTGATGAGCAGGGTTTCACAACAGAGAATGTGAGCGAGTGATGAAACTCAACTAGGAGAGGCAGCAACAGGTGTGTGTCTGTGTGTGTGACTGTGTGTATATGTGAGAAAGCATGTGTGTGTGTGTGTGTGTTTGTGATTAAGGTTTTTGGAGGGTTGGGTATGACAGCTGTCCCGTCTGGTCACAACATCACAACAAAAACAGGGATCATGGAGAGAGGAGAGGAGAGGGAGCGAGATGATTCCCTACTAACCTTTTAATTTGTTCTAATTTTATGCCTCATGCATCCATGTGTCTCAGAAATACTGACATATGAACTGGATGAGACTGTGTAGATTGTAAACACCAATGTGCTGACATGCTCACAGTGACAATGTTGACATGCTAATGTCTAGCAGGTTAGTTGCTTGCAATGTTTACCATCTTCATCTTCCATTTTACATTGGAAGCATGCATTTGCTACTTAGAACCAAACTGTGACTGTAAAATGATGCTTATGCAGTTCCTATAATATATAGGAATAATAAACATGTTTACAAAAATCAGTTTAGGTCTCTACTGCTAATTTCAACATTCCAACTGTACAGTGGCTGAATTTTTATATAACCCACATATTTACATTGATTAAGGCTTTAAAGTATGCATAATTAAGGGCGTGACTGTTTTGAGTGACAAGTGGTCTGCTATGTGTCACCACAACCTGTGAGTCAGATCCAGCCTGTGCTCCTCCACAACTCCACCCTCTCATCCAACTATGATCACTTCTGGCATGAAAGATGGTGACCCTCAAAATACAAAACTCAAGGCCTTTAACAAGAGTCTACAAAACAAATGGGTGACATCACTGTGGCTATGTCTATTATTTACAGTCTATGCTTAAAACTAAACACAAAGTACAGCTGAAGGTGATGGGATGTTGGATGATTACCAATATCCTTAGGGTACATCATTTTAGGATCATTATTTGCTATACAAAATTTTGTATATACTGGTTGTGCTTGGCAAAAAGTCAGGGGGTTACCAAAGTCAATGGGATTCATCCTCTGGGGACCATGAATATGTGTACATACTTTCATAGCAATACATCCAACAGGATATAAGTAGATCAACAAACCGACATTGCCATACCACAGACACTAAACGGAGCAAATCTCTGATTTATGATTGTTTGTGATTCACTAAATAAACTAAACAGATATTCTTTAGAGCCTTAGGTCATAGCTTCTTTCTCAGTTAGTCAGTTACCAAACACTTGCAGGGACTTTCCATGTCATCCTGTAGTTTGGTTTACTCTGGAAATAGACTTCATTAGACTTCTGGGAGTCACAACAACATGCACATCACTGTATACCCCCTATAGTTTGCATGATAATAACTGTTTTAGTCTTTAAGTTCCCCTTTTTTACACGCAACTGTGGCTCTGTGTGGTTACCCACATGAGGAACTGTTGAACTATTTCAGTGTGGGTTACTTCTGTAATGGCTGCATTTGTAAGTCATAATCGGTACATCTAGTCAGTGTACATCTGTCCAATGTGCTTTAATAGATTCTCATGTGACTTGTTGTTGACATATTTTAACATGTGGAGTGTGTGCAGAGCTTTGACCTTTTACATTTATCAGGGTGTTACATTAAAACCTCAGACATGAAGCCACGATGCACCTGTTCCAAAAGCTTCAGCGGCACAGGATCTTTAATGAGCAGTACAGTAATGTTTTAATTAATTCAATGATTTCAATAAAACTAAGACTGAAATGAGGGAGAACCACTTTCCATACTTGTGAATGCTTTGTGAATATCACAGAAAGGCAACTGATGAAAAGTAATTGAACTTTAAAGCACTTAAGGATAGTTTGTAAGCATCAGTGTTGAGCCTCCATCGCAAAAACCACATCAGTCAGCAAGCTTGGTCATGCTCCACCCACAGGATATGTTCCAACAGTGGATGAGCTGAAACATCGGCCTGCTGGTTCTTGGAAGAAGTGCACACTCAGTGTGCACCATGTGCTGCTGCTGACATGTTTTGCGGATTGTATAGAGTGTCATGAATTATGAGGCACCAGAACTCCCCCTCTGTCTCCCTCCTCCCACTGCCTCAATGCAGACAGACATGTCATTCACTCACATGGATACAGACACACACACACATGCACACCAACCACTATGGCTTTTTTTCTGAGAATGATCACAAAAAGAGTTTCTCATGCTGCAGGATTTTTAGGAAGTGAACTTGCATCATCAGTCACATGACATCAGAGATCAGACAGGGGCGTGTTTTAGGTGAGACATTAACAGCACTTCCTAAAAGTATGCCTTTGTTATTATTCTCACTGTATGCTGATGACAAACCCAATACACGACTCTTCCTGATTGTTCCCAAAAGTCTCACACATCACTGTCTAAATATGTCATGTGTTTAATCAAGCTGATATGAGCTGACCCAGTGGCCTGGACAGACTTAGTTACACATTGTCCTGAATGGCACTGTTCCAAAATAAACAAAATACACTGAGCCAGTCCTCACAGATCAGTTGGTGCTGTTTTGGGATAACTGAAATACAATGGTAAACCCCCTTTCAGACACAGAAATACACACACACTCCTGCACAATCCAACCTTATACTCTGGAGGAACCCAAAGGATGAGCTATTTATAATACTGTGAGTGACTAAGAATCATGGGACTTTAAAGCCACGTTACTGTGAGACTGATTTTTTTTCTTTATATTTACAGCAACAAAACGCTAGTGCTGATAAGCCTGGGCGAAACACTTCCTGACCAGTAATTACTTTTATCATCACCAATACATTAACCATTAAGAACTGTGGTGACACTTGTCATAGTCCAGAGGTTTTCAAAGTGCAGGTTCCTGAATGAGGTCTGGAACAAAGTCAGAAGTAGGCTGCAGTCTGATTTCACTTATATCACATACTTGTATGAGTTTATAGGGATGTCAGCAAAGAAGCAATACCACCATGTAAACCACTTTGTCACAAGTGAAAGTTCTGCACACAAAAGTATACTTCAGTAAAAATACATAATATCACCACTAAAATGTTACAGTTCAAAAAGTAAAAGAAAGAAAAAATCATTATGCAAAATGGCCTTTTATCCAGGAGGCGCAGCAACAGGTTTTATCCTCTTTTTAATCTTGTGCATACTTTAGGGGCACTCTCATGAATTAAGAATTAGGACGAATTACAACTTAATCACAGTTATAAGCACACATAGCTTTGCACAACTCAAACCTGAGCCTGTCCAATTAGCCACATATCTAAAAACACCTGTGTGGGTATACAGGGCCTTTGATACACAATAATGCATTATATTTTTTAAGTTGGCCATATGTATATAGACATAAATATCCTTTGAGATTAAAAAATATTTTTTTTTAAGATTGACCTGGCCAAGACAGCAGCATAATACACTGCTACAAGTTGCAAGGACAAACAGACATATACAACTGTCATACCCAACAAGTGCATAAAAACCACCATATACAATTAACGTGCAATACAAGGTCCAGGAAAAGAAGATGTGAGTACAACTTTGAAATAAATTAGGAATAGTCACATTGACTAAAAGAGCTAATTTCCCGATCCTTTAATTTCCACTTAATCTCCCCCACAGTGATCAGCTCTGCCAGTTTCAGATCCTTCTGTAAATTATTCCAGGATGAAGGGGCAGCGTATTTAAAAGCTTTTTTGCCGAGTTCTGTTCTCACCCTTGGTATGTGAATTTGAGGAATATTATGAGAGCGAAGGCTGTACTGATTTAGGTTTCTGCACAGGTATGTGGAATGATAAGAGGGAACCAGGCCAAAAACAGATTTATATATAAAAACCAACCAATGCGAGAGCCTGTGGACATACAAAAACAGCCATTTAGCAGTGGCATACAAAGTACAGTGGTATATGCAATTTCCACAACCAGTAATAAAGCTTAAAGCACAATGATATACAGTGTCTAACTCCTTTAGACACTGGTCAGGGGCATTCATGAAAAGCAAATCACCATAATCCAGCACAGGTATAAAAGTTGCAGATACCAAGTGTCTCCTTGCCTGAAGGGAGAAGTTGGATTTCTTTCCTTCCTTCTTAATTATTTATGTCTTTGACCAGAGCCTCCACAAATACAAAAGACTCAAAACAACCATAAATGAAAGAAATGAAAGAATGAAAGAAATACAAAGAGACGTGAGCGCAAAACGATCACTCCATGGTTTTGTGGGTCTGTTGGTCTTGCACTTATTCCTGTGTGTGTGTGTGTGTGTGTGTGTGTGTTTGAGGGGTCTTTTGCATGTCTGTAAATACTATGAATCTTTGCACATCCTCTAAAATATATTTTTGCACATTCATGCACATCTCTTTTGTTTTAAACAGTTAGATTGTACATTTTTTGACAGTATTTTTTAAACAAATTTTATTATAATTTATTCTATTCTATATTTATTTTCCCTGACTATGCACCAAAACACCAGAGGAGATTTCTTGCATATAAAAAACTTATTTGGCAACTGTCTGATAATCCATATTTGACTATAACTGTTGAATAAATGTAGTTAGAATACAATGTTTCTCTCTGAAATGTGGTGCAGTTGAAGTATAAAAGTAGCTACAGTTGCATAAATTGTAAATACTCAAGTAAATGTCAAAGTGCCATGAAATTAAGTTCAGTATGTGATTAAATGTAGTTAGTCTCCAGCCCTGGTCCCGGCAGAGACAGTTACATAATCGTCCCCCAAGTCGTTCAACATTTAATAAATACTTCCATAGGGAATTTATCATGTTAAAATCCTTCCCTTGAAGTCTCCTGTGTCTACCTTTCCATGACATGACAGAGTTTTGTTTCTTCTGCTGTCCTCGCCAAGAGATTTTGCAACGCTCAAGTTGATAAACAAAGCCACGTGTTGCAGGGAAGTTTCCAAAGTGGGCGGACCTCTTGTATTTCCGGGTTCTGAGTTGAGGATATAAGAAGAGCTGCGCAATGACAACAGTAGACCACATAAACCTCCAGGACACATCGCTTTCAAGAAGGGACGCACAATAACTCAAACAGGAACTAATTCCTGCTAACTTTTAGATTAATTTGAATTCGACGTCACCGAGCCAGGATGCCTTTCCTCGGACAGGACTGGAGGTCACCGGGTCAGAGCTGGGTTAAAACCGAAGAGGGATGGAAAAAGACATCAGCAGACGACAAAAACAACAATGTCTCCGTGGAGAGGTTGGTCATGAAACATGTCCTGACTAATGTCGCTGTCTCCATCACAACAGTTTGCGCAACTCTTAAATGCGCCATCAGTGTTGTAGTTAGAGGAAGATGGAGGGAGGAGGAAGGAGGGGGAGATGTTTTTAACAAGGTCCAAACAAAGGCAGGGTGACGGACGCACAGCAGGCCTGCGCCTCCATGTCGTTTCCATCTCATTAACCTCTTTGTTTTTCTGGGGCCATGTTTCTTTTCCAGGCTAATCACTGAGCTATTAATAAGATCACAACAAGTGAGTGGATTAACAAACGTCTGTTGAGTCAGTTCCCTTTTTAAGATGCCTTTACTAGCACGAAAAGCCTGCCTTCAACACGACCTACAGATATAGCACATGTATGAAAAATAAGGCAGCAACTGATGCCTTTGTTGTGGTGTTAGAGTGATTTCTCTGCACAGCTCATGTTATTGAAAAACTCATTAAAAAATGCTGCACATAAAGCCTGTACTTTGCACTGAGATAAACTGGTAAAATGATGTATCTGATGAAATATGCATCCTTGTGTTTTTCCAGCTTCTGCAAAGCCGAGGAGGAGGAGTGTTTCAACAAGGAGAACCTGCTGCTCTCTTTCAGCTACGACATGGCTGCCAAGAAGAGGAAAAAAGACCTAATGAACAATAACACCAAGGTCCCCTGTGAGTCACAGTGAAAGGGCCACACAGTCTGGCTTATTGTTTAAGTGTGTAGAGGGTAACAATTTGTAACAGTATGCTTTGGGGTGATAAAACATATATTAATATGTCAAAGATCAACAGGAGAGGCTCATGAGGATGTTATGTAACATTCATGAGGTGAACACTTCCTGATAATATTGTTTATGATTAATTTTCTATCATTTTAGAAGCTCAATTTCAGTAACTATACAGACTCTGAAATGCATCTATTGCTGCTGTGTGTGTGTGTGTGTGTGTGTGTGTGTGTGTGTGCGTGCATTTGTCACAGTGCTTATAAGCTGCTTAATAAGGCCAGGCCACTAATATAAACATTCTGCTTTCTCACAGATTTCCACAGGGAAAAGTGGATTTATGTTCATAAAGGAAGCACCAAAGAGGTAACAAACCCAACTCATTTAGTTTCACATCAACTTTTCACATCATCGTTGCTAATGTAAACACACTGAGAAAACCCTGCGCTCCTGCCGAGGATCGCAATCTAATACCCTGATAATTGAATTTTCCCAGCGCCACGGATATTGTACACTGGGAGAGGCCTTCAACCGCTTAGATTTCTGCAGCGCCATCAAGGACACGAGGAGATTTAATTACGTCGTCAGAGTGAGTTCTAATCTCTTTCTTTTCTGTCAGTTTCTCCTGTCCCCTTTGTTTTCCTTCCTCTGTGGTTGTTATTAGGACGTGTTTTGGTAGTGGCAGAGAAGAGGTTAAGGTTAAGAGGGTGTGTAGGCTTCTGCCACGCTCTTATCAATGCTGTGCAGACACGGGTCTCTCAATGGTGATGATACAGACCCAGGGAGTGTATGTGTGTTTTTGTGGTGGGGTGAGAGTGTGACATAGCTTGATTATTTTGCTGTAATATGATTGCGAAAGCCATTTGGCATCCCTAAATTGAATTGAACCAATGCTTTATTTAAAATTAAGTCCTATCAACTACCCAGTGCAGTCCATTTCATTAAAGCATTTTATGTGACTGTGTAAAACTGATGCTGTTTCCATAGTACATATATTAGGGATGCCAAATGGCTTTGTCCACTAGAGAAAGGACGTGGCATCAAGAACATTCATCATATCATTAGCAATAATGTAATCGCATTATCAGGTAACAATAGAAAATTCATTAGCTAAATTTTGGAGCTGTTCCCCTCCACATCAAAGTGTCACCACACACACCAGCTCTCCCACATGTGCTCCCATGTGAGCTCAGTGCATGTGGTCTTGCACTCCTGTGCCGCTGGGGGTGGGAGGCTGAGGGGGCCAAGGGGGGTGACAGCTGTGCAGTGAGGTGAGACCACCCGACAGGGGTTTATGAAACCAGACCCGGTGGTTGTCAGGTGATTCAGTCCCCCAAACACACACACACACACACACACACACACACACACACTTGTCTCTGCCAGACATAGGCTGCCTCCTTTTGTGTTACTCCTACTCGTTTTCTGTCTCTCTTCTCCCGTCCTATTCAACAGTCCTCTGCTGAACTTCTGTCTCTTTGCTATTTAACTGCCTGCCTAATGAATTTGATGGGATGATCCAATCCCAGCTCGCTCTGGAGGAGACATTTTGGCAAGACAGTGAAATTGCAGAGGATCATGTTTTACGACTTGTTGTTTCTATCTACAGCCATTAACACAAGTGTAGTGTATCAGCATAATAGCATTTCTGAGAATTTAAAATTATCTGGCGTCCCACAAGTGATCTAAGTTTTAACCTCTTTACACATAACTTGAAACAAAGTTGGCCATTTGTTTCTCTCTCTGTTGAAGTTTTGGATTGACCTTTCAGTGCAGGTTCCAGCTAACAAGTGCAGTGTAGTGTGGTAAGCCCAAAGAACAATACGGCTTTGTAACACTAGCGTCTAGTCTGGACACGGTGTCCTAGGTCACTGCTCTTCACTGGTTGTGTCTGATGGCATTTGCGGGTTCATTTAACTCCGTCTCAGTTACACAGATTGGGTTCTTCCACAAAGAGACAACAAGAGGTCTTCTCTTTTCTCAGAGCAGACAAATGGAGGTTATTTCAAGGAGATAGGAACCTTAAAATGAACGTGTTGTAGCAGAGCCGGTGTGTTGTAACAAGAAGATGCAGTGCTTGTGATACTCTGTGGAAAAGTATGAGCTGCACGCCAAGCTGTGAAGTGCAGTTTAGCGAACAGCGAGGGCTAAAAGTAGATACGGAAACGCACATTGTTCTGCCCGGCTGCTCTACAAAGAGAGGAGCACTTGATGAGCTGCTAAAAGAAGAAGGGCATGGGATTAGGTTTTAGGAATGGAGCTGGAAAGAATGAAAACGGGGAGCCAGGAGGGCGCGAAGAAGCTTAAAATTGTTACAAAAAAATGGTTAGGCAGGTTGAGGATGTAGAGAAGTAATTTAGTTCAGAGTTTGGTATTATTAAGACCCCCGAGCTCATCAAGTTTTCATTTAGGATTTGGATGAATGTTTACTTGTAGGCGCCATTTGAAGTAATAAACTTGCATTCTTTTATTAACCAGTTTCACAAGTTTAGAAATGCAATTAGAAAAGTTTGTGCTCTATAATCTCTATAATGTAAGCCTCCCATAACTAACCTACCAGCACTGCAAAGTGTCCTCAAGTTACCAGAAAGCAACCAACAAATTGTTGATATGATGACAAAGGTCACATGCTCTGGTCAGCATTGAGCAAGGGGGAACTTGAGTTTCTCCATGACGTCACAGCATCTGTTACATGCCAGGCATGCCACCTTGGAACCCACTGTTTGTCCGCTAGCCAATGGCAACAACTACGCAGACACAAACACACACACAAGCATGCATGGTCACACAAGTGCAGACACACTCTGTCAAATGATTCAGCTAATTCACATGACAGCAGGATCAGGAGTCAAATGATTAAAAGCTTGTTTGTGGAGGCTGATGTTGTTGACAGCCTGGGCTGTTTTCCAACACCTTTCCAGTAGCTTCTTCCCCCTGAAGAGACTCTGATCAAGAGTGATCAGAGCCAAGAATGCTGTTATATGTTTTTTGGATCCAGCTTCAGCTGAGAGTAATGACCAGGTGGAGCAGCTCCAAATTTGTTCTAGACAGCATTTATTGTTTGGAGTGCGAGTGCCTTTGTAAGAATGCGGCATAACAAACATTTAGTAATGAGGCAACGGAACAGAGAGTCTCGGCAGCTGACAGGATGAAATTTATGTTGTTTCTTTCTTTCTGTCTCGTTCTTTCTCTGCTCTAGCTCCTGGAGCTTATCGCCAAGTCCCAGCTCCCCTCGCTCAGTGGAGTGGCGCAGAAAAACTATATGAATATTCTGGAGAGAGTGGTACAGAAAGGTGAGCCCTGTCGCTCTTTTCCCGCCTTTTTTTTATAGTCACTCAACTATTTCTCGCTCTTCTTTATGTGACCAAGAGGTTTAATTTTCTGCTATTTTCACACAAGGCACACCCACCTCTTAAAAGCACAAAAATACCCAAACGCAGTTTACCCATCCTTCAGTCTCTTTCATTTCCTTCATTGTTGCATCAATGATGTAATGTACAGGGAAATAGACTCCTCTTGTTTCTTAAAGACAAACTGAAATAAAAAAATGAGGCCTTCCTGCTCTGTTTGCACCAATAGGTGAGGAAATGAGCCCTGAGGATCTATAAAGAAGGCCAGGAGTGAATTTAGTGCTTTAATGGCACAGTGAAAAACACTGACAGTCACCAGATGCCTCAGCGAGCCACAGTGTAAACCAAATGTTCCCTCTGCTAAACAGAGATTCAGGTTGTTTAAGTGGCGTTATGAAACGTGTTGGCTAAATATTATAAACGCCACAGGAGAAGAGTACAGCCACTCCAAAACAGTCCCTTTAAGACTGTGACTCACAATAAATATTTCACTGTTAGCCTGGTAGCTTGTAATCTCTCTTTGTAACACCCAGGCTTTAAAACCTCACTCAGGTCACGAGTTCAGTAATAAATGGAGTCAGCTAAATATCTTTTGATTTTTCTCCTCAGTTCTTGATGACCAGCAGAATGTTCGTCCCATTAAAGAGCTGCTGCAGACGCTCTACGTCTCGCTGTGTGGTCTGGTTCAGGACATGGGCAAGTCTGTCCTGGTGGGGAACATCAACACCTGGCTGCACCGTATGGAGAACATCCTGCAGTGGCAGCAGCAGCTGGACAACATCCAGATCAACAGGGTAAGCATCTGCTTTGAACACAGGGTGAAGAGTCGGATTCACAGAAGTTCCCTTTATGATGGAGAAATTAGAAGAACAACCTAAATGCAATTCATGATTTTTTTTGTGCCTCCTGTTTTCTTCAGCCCACATCTACAGGCATGACTCTGACCGACCTGCCTGCCAGTCTGCAGCTAAACATCATGGAGCGTCTCACGGACGGCAGAGACCTGGTCAGCCTGGGTCAGGTGTGCCCTGAGCTGGGGGCCCTCACTGAGGACCGGCTGCTGTGGAAGAGACTCTGCCAGTACCACTTCACAGACAGACAGGCATGTAGACATAAACGGATGATCACTAAATATGTATAGAGTTGGATGCACTCTTCTTTGCCCTTAAACACATTTGCATACATGGCAGGTTAGTTGTCCTCCTCATCGTCTTTCAATTGTGTCAGTGCTTCAGATGACCTCCAGGTTACATACTTGAGACCGTAAACACAAGATAACAGGGCAGTCTTTCTGACACACATGCCATTAAAATCACTCTACAAGGAGGTCAAGCATCTCTGATAAACAGGACTCGCAACTGGAACACAGGAGGCCACACAGTGTGCATACTCACACTACAGTTACCTAGCACCATGCTCAAAAGCATGCACTCGATAAGCGAGCGAGACAGTCTCGGGGTTTACGCTAAAGTAGGTTACAGTGAAGCTTTCCTACGGGTTAAATTGCTTAGCTATAGATTGTGTTTGGGGAAAACTCTTATGAATGTTCCATCTTTTGAGCAGTCACTTTGTGTGTAGAAGTGAACTGGGATACAACAGAATTTCTCAAGAAAGCTAACATTAAAGTGGATATTTCAAAGTGTTTTTCTCTCCTTGGGTCGTGTCTCAAAGTTTGTTTACCTCTCCGTTTAGATCCGAAAGCGCCTGATGGTGTCAGACAAAGGTCACCTGGAGTGGAAGAAGATGTACTTTAAGCTGAGCCGCTGCTATCCTCACAGAGAGCAATACAGTGACACCCTGCACTTCTGCACACACTGCCACATCCTTTTCTGGAAGGTAGAACTTTTTCTGTCTCTTTCACTTTCTCACTTGATCAAAGTGGATCTGACAGCAAAACGTTAGTTACTAAAACTGCACTTAAGAAGAGAAAACAGAAGGAAATTAATATCGATTGTTGTCTTTCTTTCTCTCCCTAGGACACAAACCATCCCTGCACAGCCAACAACCCAGAAAGTTGCACCATGTCCCTCTCCCCTCAAGACTTTATCAACCTTTTCAACTTCTGATCCCGCCCCCGCTCCCCAAATCAGATGAACTGACTGTACATACTGTACATAGAAATGTACAATATTGTTTTTTGTTCAATAGCACAATCAATTCCTGGATTTGTATTTCGTTGAGGTATTACTGGAGGGGGCTCAGGCAGTGGGACAATTATGCAATCGAGTTAGTTTTGAGAACAGAGACCTCTGGGAGAGCTCAGTTGAAAGCTAGTGAATGTGACAGAGGCAAAGAGATGTGGTAGTCGACCTGTGGATGGAGGAAGGAAGCTAAGGATAAAGGGAACATTCAGTTGTCAGAATTTAGTCTTAGTTTGTGTGTGTGTATTTTTTTTTTTTAATCACACCTCCAAAGTCAACGCACCTCTTGACCTCAGATGTGTGCACTTGTTTTTCATAAATTGGATAATTTGGTTTTATTTTTTAGTTTTTGAACCTTGTAATTTCTTTCTCAAACACAGAAAGTAGGATGATTATTTATACCAGTTTGAAATTGGGATTTGTGTAAGGTATTACAAGCCCTGCTCACACAGGGAGATGCAGTGTGTTTGATGTTCAGGTGAAGTTTGCAATGATATTCTGTTGGGCACTGGGAGGGAGAGCACTAAAGTTTGAGTTGCTGCGGTACCTAAGAGATAATGAATGTAAGAAGGGAGCTGGTCATGGATTGTTAGACTGACTGATGATTCTATATGTTGACACACCACAGTATGTTTTCTATTTTTCTTTGTTTTTCACTTTTATAAAGATTTGATATGATGTTTTTTAATTTTATTAATTGTGTGTTAATTTGCTGCTGTGGCTGCTATAGCAACAGCACCTGAGTGCAGTATTACCAAAGATTGTAATTAGAGTCAGTGTAACAATGGCGTGTGCCTTATCACGAAACTTGAAACCGGTACAGCTTAATCCTTGTTTGCAATGTTTTCAGATCCCGATGCTGTTTTTATCATCGACAAATGACTCTTTTACAGAAGAGTGGTATATATGATGTGAGACTCTGATACCAAAGTTGACTGTCTGAAACATCTTATTTCTTTTGTAGCCTCATGCATGATTTTTTTTTTCTTTCAAAACCCACCCAGCAGATTGTGTTTACGTATTTATTTATTGAGATTCTGGCACAGAATGCAAATATTGGTATTAAAGGTGCAATTTGACCCAGACTTTTCTCTATCACTGCGCAGACAGTGAGGAATGATGTACATGCTATGCAATGCGTTCTGTTTATTTTCTGTTGAATAAATAAAAGAAAATAACCCTGCCTCTGCTGTATGATTTCGCTCTGCACACACTGAATCATTACGCAGGACAATTGTTGAACATTTTCCTCAGATTCAAAGAACACACTAGCGTCTTTGTAGAGGGCACCAAGCAACACACAGCAAAATTGTGCTCTCTATTGGACAAATGATGAACTGCAAGGTAATGTTTTTTCAAAGTATGGGTGCTGCTTGTACTTGGTGTCATCAGCACATTATTACAACAAACTATTTCTATGAGAGATGATGTTTTCTCTGCCTCAAAGTTTCCATCACTGTTTAACACCTGAGTCTTGAGACTTAAAACGGTGCTTAGATGATGAAACACTAAGCTGCGTCTCTAATAAAACAAAACAAATGATGTTCCCCGATCACTTGTAATCACTAACTACCTTCAAATACAAGTGGACCTCTCCAGTGTCTTTAAATCAAACAGAACTCTGGGGTGTTAGAGTTAATTAGGCAGACCTGCTGTATAATAACACTAGGCTGTTAAACAATGAGCTGTTCGCTCAATAACAAACAGTGTTCAAGTTTCAAAATGTTCTCAAACAATTGTTTTAATTGTTGCAGTAGGACAACAGTTGAGGTTAAAACAAAATGTAAAAAGCAAATGACTCAGACAATACAAACAAAACAATAACTCGCTGCTTGTTACACAATATTTTTAAAATAAATAATATTTATACAAATATTATGTAAATGTTCATTTTACCCAGAAATATGATTGAGCACATAAATCTTTGTAATTGTGCGCATCTCCCACTGCAGCATTGCACATACAGTACTGCCCTGCTCCTCAGGGTGTGTAGGTAGCTTTTTACAGAGTAGTTCGGAACATTTGGAAGCATCATGTGTGTGGCTGGCAAAGGCATGAATGACTCAGCTGCCAAAGTAATAATACGCAGGCATCACTTTAAGGCCATATGAAAAGAGAGTCAATCTATCTTTTGATGATTCTGATCACAAAAGCTCAACATGCTGGTTTAAGGCAATGCTGCCCATCACTTTTTACATCAAAAAGGTGCCGCTGTATTGTTGCTTTGACAGCATTAAAAGAAGGCAATGTTAATGGTACATTCCCATCTTTTTTTCTCTAAGATAAACAATATAATTTCTTTGAATTACTATCTATCTAAAGCTGCATTCACACATTTATAGCTAGCTAACTAGCTACTACAACTTTGTCTTTATTACTCCCACCCCCCCTTTTTTTTAAAAAAACTACTACCATGCAAACGTATCATCTACAGTTTGTGCCTCTTGAAACACATAATAAGCACCAATAAAAGACTTTCAGATTCCACCTCCTGTTATAGGAGTCACCAGTGTTTGACATTACAGAAGACTTACATGGAGTACAAGTTATGAAGCTCATTGCATATTGTCATTGTACCATACATTGTTTTCTAAAGTATTGTGCGCCTGTACCTCCTGCATCCTTCCTCTGCATCTTTTCCACAGTACGCTAAGATATGACATGAGACTAAAGGAAATGTGGAGAAGTAATAACCAGTAAAGTCTGGAGGGCTCATGATGTTGACAGCAGCACCCTTGAACTCACGGAGGGAAACTGTCCTGTTCTCCTCACTTGAACAGATTAGAATAGCTGTTAATGGGTTATTGAGTACTGAGTTAGCATCGAGCCACACAAACCAGACTTGGACCCACAACTCTTAAATCCAGCTCTGTAACCTTTGGGCTTTGGCAGCATTTGTCTGAGCTTCCTGTGCAAGACGGTAAAGGTACCAACTGCAGAGGATCCCAAGATGCTGAGAATCCCCGTTGGTTTATGAGGTGTAGTGGGGAAAGTAGGCCTCACTGTTGAGCTGCAGTCCTGTGTATGCAAACACATAAGCACTGAGCATTGTGTGACACATGCATACACAAATGTAAGACTTTTGATTTTGTCGTTGTGAGGGAGAATAAAAGAGTGGCATGCTTATAATAATCTGGTAGGGTGCATGGGAAAGCAAAGAAACAAGTTACCAGAGTTAGTAAATGTCACAGAGAGGTACGTTCTCTCTTTCAGAGTTCTGAATAATCCACTCAATTGCATCCCAACCCTACAGGTCCACACAGAGAAACAGAAGATTTAAGAAAAAGTCAAAGGCCATACACAGAGAAAGTCAAGTGAGCACTGCTGGGAGTAGTGACTTTTGACTGGCAGTACAATCCCAGTTAGAATGCATGCAAAGACATCATCAGCAACTTGTATCAAAGTTCAGGCTACATGCAAATAAATGCAATAAACATAACTGTCTTTATTTTGTGTTACCTTCCTGGCGTTAGCTGACATTCTCCTAGCCATCATGCCCTCCAGATAACTGCTTAGACTCACTCCCTTGACTGTGATGATGGCCTCCTGGGTCAGGACGGTACTGAGGAGGGAGTGTGAGGGAGGTGGCAGAGACAGAGAGAGAGAGAGAGACAGCATGATTACTGTGAGATTTGAAGAAACAGTGTAATGACGTGTACCTGCAAGAACACAATGTCCTTATTGCAGTTTAAAAATAGGACAATAGCACACACACACACACACACACACACACACACACACAGTGTTTCCAAAAAATGTTTTAAAATGAAGTTGGATAAATTGTACAATGTACTTACACCTCAGGGTTGTCTGGGTGTGGTCTGTAAAGAAGCCGCTCATCCACTGAAATCAGGTTGGTGAGAGTAATCTGGAAGACAAAAACAAATTTTGATTTCTTTATTAATGGTATATTTTTTTGCAAACACAGTGAACACTATTAATTTGGAATTGCTACTATAATATACCATTGTATTTCCTGTAAATTGCTTTGGTTGGTGCATGGACTTAGTGTAAACTTACATTTGTTGAGCACAGCTCCATCTTTTTCTCCTCTGGATCCACGATGGAGTGTTCCTTCACATATGTCTGCGTGTGGTTGGTTCCTAATATCTGCACACACGATAACACACAGTGTGTACAGTGAAATGAGCCCAAGTATCATGTGACATGTGTATGTATATGTGCGTGACACAACTTTTACAGGATTCACTTCTGCTTCTTGCTCTTGAGACTCAATGAAAAGACCAGTGAGCAACATATTCTGAAAGCTGTGGTTTGTTTCTCCAGCACAGTTGTTGGGAAAGTACTTAAACAATTGACAGAGTGAAAACTACAGTGAGGAAGCCATATATTCACGCAATGTACTCACTTCAGATGACAAACAGCTCAATTTTTGAAACACTTCAACTCATCCAGACTCCTGCAGGTCACTAAACACCTAGTTAAGGAACCTTGCATACATGCACCTGTATGCCTCTGTACATGTGTACTGCTATTTTTCTTAGGGATGCATGTTGATATCGGCATGTCATTAGTTTCAGCTGATATTGGCTTTAAGATGAACAATTTGAATTGCCCAACATGCTTTTTCTTACTTTGCACACTGAATGAATATTACATACACTGAAAAGCATTGTATTTCATGTCTCCATCTGCTGGTGGGCCATCATGATAAGAGTATGCATGTATAATATAATGATAATTCCACTACAGAAGAGACTTGATGGTCGCTACAATTAGGTGGGGACAAAGGTGGATATATCGATATTGGTATCGGTTATCGGCCAAATGAGTTGTTATATATTGGTATATCGGATATTGGCAAAAAAATCCAATATTATGCATCCCTAATATTTATGTGCATCTGTATGTGTCTGTGCTTGTGTACGTGTTGATGACTTACTGCTCGCACAATGGCCGGGAGGCCCCACTCGGTGCTGAGGAGTCTGTGGCTGTGCAGGCGTCCTTCTTTATCCAGACTGCGATCCAACACGTCCACCCCGACCACGTTAGGGTTCATGGGGTTTGGGTACTTCCTCATGGCAGCCTTGATCACCGTCTCCCATGGGTAACTGCACAAAAGACAGCAACGTATTAGCTTTTACTATTGGCTGACACATGTTGGCAAAGACTTGGCTAACAGAGTGTGTGATCCCCGTATTTAGTCATGTGCTTAATCAATTCAAAAGTGACCCTCTCTGGGGTTTAACTGTGACTGGGGAGTGGTTATGGCTGACTCCTGATGTTAAATGCTCATATTGATCACAATCTCTCCGTGGGCTATGACATAGAGCAGGTGGCCAAAATCATATATTCATGAATTTTAAAGTCTAGAGAATGCAATTTTTGAATGCTGAATAATAAAAAAGCTGAGGCTTCCCATTGCTGGCTTAAATGTGCAAATAGGTGAAGTAGTATCAATGGATGGAAGAGTGGGAGTGGGTTGAATTTGGGTAAATGTCAATTAAAAAGTTGAATAATACCAATAATATATACAAGACTTGGAATATTGTAAGGGTTTCTGAAACACTGACACTAAACTGAATTGCTGGCTTTAAAAGTTGAATAATATGCATAATGTTTTAAGATGTAGAACATAGTCAGGTCTGAATAAAGTTTCAACATGAAGGTATGAGAGGACATGAAAAATTCTTGAATAAAAAAGCTCATCTCAATCAGCTGTGTGGCTCCAGCTGCAATCAAAGGTTGCCATGGTGACGGTAACAAAGATTTCCCAGACTAACATACACTGTGACTCAACTAAATTCCGATTTCCGATTTATTTTAACTCTGTTAATGAAGTTGAGGGTCCCATCAAACCAGCGCTACAATGGCGAACCATAATTCTCCTTTATTAATACTCTGATCAACAATAAATCCCAGCTGACCTGAAAACATGCTCCGTGCTCCAAATCTTCATTTTTCAAAAGACAAGTTTTGACCTTATCGCTATGAAACCCTCCTCGATTCGAAACTACATATCACCGGACCATTTTGATATGGGGAACTCGCTCCTGTATAATCAGAGAGGAGGGCCTACGATGGAAACTCACGACCATCAGTGAAGTGAGTCCGGAGAGCGCATCTCCGCTTTTCTTCGCATATCAGTCGTGCGTAAAGACTGCACAGTATGCGCCACTGATCCCCGCGTCACAGAAACAACAGGCAGATAATATGTAGGCTGATTTACAAATATAACAAACAGATTGGACAGTGGAGGACAAGAGAGAAGCCGGTGTAGCAACGGAGCCATCAAGGGTCAAGTCAGACAGGGTGATGATCAGGATTCTGGTCAGGGATTTCAAAATAAAACCTAATTAAATGACCTTTCACTTGTGCAACTTTAGTTTATTCGTCCTCAGTCAAAAATATCTGATAAAGATACAGAGCCTAAGGTTTTATAAATATTATACAGTATGCAGCATTGAATTACAAGTGCCGTTTACTGTGTGACACAAAAGAGTTGGAGATCAAAATAAGTTAACACTACACACCTATAATAAACAACCTTTTAAATTCACACTTTGCTGGTTATTTAATTATTTTTCCCTAATTAAATACATTACCCACTTTTATTATGAGACTAAATGCACTATGATGCAATACACTGTCTTGCATCTGTTTTACAGGGATGCTGACTCACAATGAAATACAGAGGACCACCTCTTGGAACAACCTTCCTCCATCACTACAATCATTATCTGCATTATTGTTATTCAAAAAACATCTGAAAATGACTCTAGTTTGCAAAGACTCTTAACACTTCATTGATTGATATGTAACTTTTTTTTGTAAATTGTATATCTCTAATAATTTTGTATTAATTCTTTGTCTGGAACTCATGTTCAATTATGCAATCTTCAGTTTTATATTTTTCTTTTTATTTATGATTGTTGTTATTCAGTAGGGGAGGTAAGTTCATATGCCATTGTTGGTCTCTAACCTCTCCTGCAGTGTTTTAACTTTAAATGTATTTTTTCCTTTATTTTCTGTACATGTAAACTAAACTACAGTAAAATAAACTAAACTAAGCTTTTAATGGGTAAAGTCCAGAAAAAACGTTTGTGCACAATAGTTATTTTGTCTGATCAGCCTACACATTTTTTTTTACTGTTTTATTTTGAAGGCAACACAAATGCTTCCCTTGCCTTTCTCAGGCTGTGTCTGACCGGCTTGACGAAGCTGATATAGCCTGCTGCTGCATCCGCCTACATTTGTGCGCATGCGCTTAGCATCTTTTCATCATCCTGGTCAAGTGGCACCAATGAAGCGGAGCTGCATCAAGCTAGACACAGAGAGCAAGAAGCAAACAGGAAATACAGTGGCAGTGCTTTCAAAGAAGATGATTTGAATTGGAAAATAAAAAAAAATAAGGATTTTATTGACAAGACGAGTGAGTTGCTGAATTATTATTGATTTTAATAATTTGATAAGATTATTATTATTGTTTTCAGTAATAGTATTATTAGTGTTATTGCTCTTTGGGGCAATTAAACGTTAAATATTTTGTATTTTCACGTTTTCTACTGAGCTGTAAGGGAACATGTGTTAATGCACTTTTATTTTGAAAGTATGACCGGGGAAGTGTCGGGTGTATTCTCTCTGCCTTGGCGCTGGAGCTGTGAGGGATCAGAGGAGGAATTCAGTGGAGCAGACGCGCAGTGGAGGCTAGTGTGGTCCCTTAACGACAAATTCATGCCATCGCCGTTAATTCAGCGGCCCGTATATTTCACACTGGATCCGGAACAATTAATCAATCCATAGATTGCCGGCTCAGTCGATTACAACCCGGAATAACACACACTGCATGACCTTGCGCTGAATGTCATTATAGACGGATTTTTTTAAAGCACCGACACGGTAAGGTAATAAGCATCTTCATTCGCACTGAGCAGAAGGCGAGACCAATGTCGATATTACGGGATAGTATGTTGCCTGTGTGCATTCTGCATTTTGATAGCATATTTATTTTGTATGGGCATTGATCATGTTGTTTTGCAAACGTAAGACGGTAACAGCTGAGGCGTTTAGGGAAAATCATATTGATGATAGGAGTGCTATGCAGCCTGGTTGAAGGCCGGACTGCATGCCGCAGAATGCAAATACTCGCCATTCCAGTACTTAATAATCCTGTCACAAATATGTGAGCCTAAGGCTGTTAGAAACGCACAAAGCGCTGTTAGATGTTTATTCTAACAGTGATGTATGGTTTATTCTCAGAGCAGTTGATGTGGACAGCGCGTGCAGGACTGAGGCAGATGCTGCAGCAGCGCTTGATCCGCTCCAGGCGGGAGAGAGACAGAGAGAGAGAGAGGGGGGCGTCATCTTTTTAGGGATCATTCAGCCACATTGTGTGCACCATGCTACTTATCAGCATATGCGTCAGTCTGGCACGGTATAAGAGATGACCCATTTCAATGTAAAAGTGGGGCACGAGGCTTCCCCCTCCTCATTAGGAGGGCTACCACAGGTTGGCTGGTGGTCGTGCTCAAGCCAAAAATCTGCTGACACATGCGCTCTGCCGGCCGGTGCTCCCAGCCTTTGTGCGCAATGAAGCCTATAGCCCATCTATCATGGCCTCATGGGGCCACAGGCTCCTATAGGCTTTACACTGGCCTTCTGTTCGTCTGGGTGCGTTTCTTTTAGGGCTTCATGCTATTTAAGGATGAACCCTTTAAAATTGGATTGTTATTATGTTCCCGTTTGAAATAAATAAGCGTGGTGAGGGGAGCAGTGTTGATTACTGATGTCCAGGAAGATGACACCACTCTTACTCAGTGGATCAAGCCTATCTTTTAAATAAAAGCTTAGAGTTTTACACTTGTATCTTTAATTTCAGGTCCTCGGCCGCAGCCATGGAGATTGTCACACATTTAATCAATGACACCATAGAATTCTACAAATGGACTCTAACTATTGCAGGTAATGATTTTGTACTTTTGTCAGTGTCAGGTCTTTTTGAGAGAAGTGGTGTTTTACATGTGATTTAATACACTTGTTCTTGTGTGTGACCACTTGTGTATACATCTACAGGTGTGTTTATCCTGATATGAGTCAGTAAATGGACGGTGCTTTGGTGCAAGTTTGCAAAAGAATGAGTCAGTGTTGCACCATAGTTGAAGAATGTGTGAATGTGCCTGGACCACAGGCATAGATTTCGGTGGGGACGCAGTGGACACACCCCTGAATAAAAACATGAAAGTTTCACCATAAATTGATGCAGAAAAAGCAAAAAAATTCACCAGAATGCAGGACATTAAGTGTCACAACCTGGCTCAAGGCTGGACACATGCCTTGTAACTAAAAAGAAGTTTATTTTACATAACTAAAATGGAAATGAGTGTAATGATAAACTAAATATGACCAAAACCAAAGTGGGTGGAAGACAGGGGAGAGAAAGCCTGCCCTAGGTGAGCTGAATCTCCCTGATGACCCGACTCCACCCACCAGGCTCCTGAAGAGAGAGGGGTAAATCAGAGAGGGGTATCACAGGATGCTCAAATTTTCTTAGAGGAGGACCCAGACCTCTCATTCCATATGTGTCCCCCCAGTGCTGAAATGAAACCCATGCCCTTGGCCTGGAAATAGAGTATGCTTACATAAAATATACAGCAATGTATTGATTTTTAATGTCTTGTCTCATTTTGCTCCTCCATTTAAACCTCCTTTTTATAACTGAACTGAAATCAGAACAGGATTAACATTCACACTCATTTATAATATTCTAGAAGTATCACATCCACCATTAAACCAGAGTGTCTACATTGAACAGCCCTCCAGACAGGTCACCCCTGAGCAAAATCTGGCATCTGCGCTCCTGTTGTGTTTGACCTGGCTGCTCTTCCCTTAAAATAAACTGACACTGAGCCCACGCTGCGTCAGCGCAATGTGAACATTAAGAATAGTTATGTAATGCTATGAGAACATCTGTCCCACAGACAAGCGAGTGGAGAAATGGCCTCTGATGGACAACCCTCTGCCCACGCTGGCCATCAGCACCTCCTACCTGCTATTCCTCTGGCTGGGGCCCAAATACATGAAGAACAGAGAGCCCTTTCAGCTCCGCAAAACCCTCATTGTCTACAACTTCAGCATGGTCTTCCTCAACTTCTTCATCTTTAAAGAGGTGGGTTACTATTAACTAGATGTTCGTAATGGCATGTGTGCAAAAACTGTAGTGCGTAGTCTGAAACTGTTGAATCCCAACTATTCATCCAGATGAGTACGTTACAGTAGCAGCGTTCCCCTGAGTTCAGACTAACCTTATTACAATATAACAAGCACTCTGTCTCCTTCTCTCTGTCACTCTCACTGAGATATTCTCTTGGGTTTTTTTTTCTAGCTGTTTATGGCAGCGCGGGCAGCAAGCTACAGTTACATTTGTCAACCTGTGGACTATTCAGATGACCTTAATGAAGTCAGGGTGAGTGTTTGGGGCTAAGACACACAAACAAAGACGCACACCCTCGTCGCTCGAACTACAGATTGTACTTTCGCATTTTCATATACCAGCCACCACGAACACAAAGAACTCTGATCAAACTGTAAAACTAGGCAGTGCTGATCAAATATAAACCAAGATTCTGTTACTAAATTGTCTATTTCTTGTCTAAAATATCATCAGAAACATATTTTGGTGCACTGTTTAGCTGTAATACGAGAATTAGTGAACAACAAGGAGGCTGAAAATACTGAGATCAAATGGTACAACCAAGAAATGCTGATCAAATATACACCACAATATGCTGCTGTGTTGCCTTTTTCTGGCTTAAAATGTTTTCAGAGACCTATTTTAGCTTACTGTACAACTGTCACTTGAGATTGTTTGTTACTAGCCGGTGGCCATGTTGTTTCCTGTGAAAAACCGTCACCTACCAGCGAAGCCTATATTGGTCCAGAGCGGTGCAGTACATTCCGGGTAGTTGTTGATTTTTTTTTACCTTTTAAGCAAAAGCAAATGCCACAGCCCTTTTCCTCTGCTGTTCCTAGTCATATTGCACCAAATTCGAAAGTATTTGTCTCCTTATACTGCACAAACAGCCCAGTTTTATGACAAGACTATTTTTCCAGCAGTGAAATACGTCTTTAAATGGAAATAGAACATTTACCACAGTAGGCTGCCCTGTTATGTAACTTACTCTCTTATGGTTTATGTGTGTGCAGTAATTCGTTTCCAGAAGTAACAATAGACCTCTGCTAAACTACTACCATGTAACATTTTCACAGATATTGCTGAAGTTCTCTACTGTACTCAAATAATTAAGAAAATTCTAGTCAATGTGCCAGGGAAGCTTCGCCCTCAGTGGTTTTAGAAACATGATCAGCTTCCGTTCATTTGGACCCTGCTCCTGTTATCAGAAAAAGTGCGAGCTGGAAGAGAGATCATGGAAGGTGTTCGGTTTCACCTTCCTTCTTACTGCTCCATGACGTATAGTTACACATCAGTTGGTCGGTCTCAGGTGATCCTGAGGTTGTCCAGATGATCTACTCTTCTGTTTCTCTAACTGTCTGTGTTCCCCTGTTTGTATCTCTCCCTGTCTTCCCCCATTATTGCATTTCTCATGTTCTGTGTGAGACAGGTGGCAGGAGCTCTGTGGTGGTATTTCATCTCTAAGGGCATCGAGTACCTGGACACGGTATTTTTCATCCTGAGGAAAAAATTCAACCAGGTTACTTTCTTGCATGTCTACCACCACTGCACCATGTTCACGCTCTGGTGGATCGGCATCAAATGGGTGGCAGGAGGACAGTGTGAGTAGCTCATGCCACAATAGGGTTTTATATTATGCCATATGCTTATTCTAACCTAAAAAGTAATGTATTTTTGACCCAGTAATTAAAATTGTGCTTTTCTTAAGTTTTCTAAGTGCTGGTTGTGCAGGTTTTTAGCCAATTGACTACTCATCACCTAAACTGCACTTTACATGAACTTCCACAGTGTACCACAATTTGTAAAAGTGATGTCACATTCTTCAGGGAGCCAATGACTTCCATTTATTTATGCACTTCCCAACAGTCATGGATGGATTACCTTGTTTAAAGTTTCTATTTCTTGTTGGAGGGTTTTTGTTTTGCGTCTGATCCTAAACCGAGTCTTTTTGTATTGAGAATTTTTGTTCATTTTGCGGTAGTAATGTAGAAAGAGTAGCTTCTGTGCCCAGAGGCCCTTTGTTACACAATCCGTCCATGCCAACAGCATGATAAACCATCTTGCAGACACATAACCAAATAACCCATAACAGTGGATAATTTGTTAGTCAATAATGCCAAGTATTCACAATTTGCTGTTATTGTATATATAAACTATATATGTATGTATATATATATATATATATATATAAACTGTCATTATTTTACTTACATGACTTACTATTCTAGCACCACAGTTGGTGTGACAAAACTAATTTAAGTGTTTAATTTTCTTTTATTTGCAGCGTTCTTTGGTGCACACATGAATGCAGCAATCCATGTCTTGATGTACTTGTATTATGGCCTGGCCTCCTGTGGACCTAAGATCCAGAAGTACCTGTGGTGGAAGAAGTACTTGACCATCATCCAGATGGTAGGATATTGACTCATTGTGTGGCTAATTTCAATAGAAACAAATTCCTTTAACACATTTTGGAAGGTTAAGCCTGCCACCTCACGTTTGGCACTAAAATCTGTCACTGGTAAAAACCAATCTCAGGCTGAAAGCCATTTTGAAAAATGTGTGAAACAATCACACATCGCAGTAATGTGATTCTGTTTCTCTCTTTGTGTCTCAGATCCAGTTCCACGTCACCATCGGCCACACAGCCTTGTCCCTCTACGTCAACTGCGACTTCCCCCACTGGATGCACTACTCCCTCATCTGCTATGCCATCACCTTCATCATCCTCTTCGGCAACTTCTACTACCAGACCTACCGCCGCCAGCAGCCCAGACGTGATGCCTCCTCCTCCTCCTCCTCCAAAGCAGGCAAGGCTCTTTCTAACGGGACCCTTAACGGGCTCAGCAAGGCCGCCAACGGAGCAGTGGTGACAGGGAGCAAAGAGGAGAAGCCCCAGGAGAACTCTGGGAGGAGAAAGAGGAAAGGAAGAGCTAAAAGAGATTAGAGGAAGAGGAGCGAGAGAGGTAGAGGTGAGGTAGGGCCTTTCTTTGGGATCTAGGTTGATAGTGCTAAAACATGAAAGACTACATTTGAGCAAGATTTAGATGGATGGATGCGTTAGGGTGTGATGTGTTTATTTAAGCCATGACCTGAGTTGCTGTAGATAAAATTTGAGACAGGCTTGTGTTGAGAGAGGATCATTCTGTTAGTAAGAGGTGTCAAAGGTCATGCCCAAGGTGACCGTTATCACAAATAACCCAAAATACAGTAGTGTGCGGTACAGGATAGATCTTAGTATTCCCTCTCTTTATTGTGGTGCCAAGTACTGTAGATCTGGTTCAAAAAGTGACTTTCAGCGACTAAAACTGAGCCTGGAAAAGGAAACTACGTGTTTACCAGGTCCATTTGGCATGCTGGGAAAGCTACATTAAATGCGCCTGAGCTGCTTTAAAAAGATTATATACCATTTCTAATGTTACTGCTGTATCGAGACAGGAATACACTTCATAACACGCGCACAAACATGTCAGTTTATATTGGAGCGTATCATTTTTTTGTTGCTGTTTACCTTTACAGATATAAAAATGACGATAATGTACAGTATCATGTCCCTTTTGTCCTCATCTTATTCAAGTTGTTATCGATGTTACATGAGAGAGACCTAAGTTTACAGTTTGTGTTTGCTGAATAGACACCTGCAGTTATCCACTTATTTGTGTACATGGAGTTATTTATTCTTATTTATTTCCAGCTCTCATCTTTGAGCTATCACCCATTAGCGCATAGTTATATTCTAAAGACAGAAAATAAATCAATATACAGAGGTAAGATGTACATAGAAATAGAAATTATAGATTTCTAATCCTTTGAGACTTGGATGGGATTGTTACATCACTGGTTTATGATGGAATAATCATCAGCTGTATCTCACAGAATGTTAAAATTTGGATTTTCTATTTCTGTATACAACCATAGCAGGTTTTATATATCCCTACTTGTATGTTATGCGATGAACTGTAATGAATATTATCCAGAGCAATGATGGACTATCTCAGTGTTCCCCGTTTTGACAGAAAAGCTGGTTCAAGAGTTTCGTCTTTGCAGATGTTTACCTGTCTTTTTATAATATACCCAACATTGTTGTTTGTCTTACATGCTTGTGGGAACTTTGTGAGCTGAACAAAGATGTGGAGGTGGAGAATTCAAGCTCACAGCAGTCAGGTTTTTTTTGTTTTGTTTTTGAAGTTAAGTCTACCTTAAGCACCCTTTTCTTCCCATATTCAATAAAAAATATCTTTTCTTGTCTATGTTTTCAGGCTTAATCTGTGTCCTGAGCTGGCTTGAATGTAAATTTATCAGGAGATTCATTTGGATTCAAAAAGATTCTGATTTATATACAAAAAGAGCTGGTGAACCTCTATAGTGACTGTGTATGTTATAACACTATGAAGAATAACTCTGCTCTGCCTGTAGTATATAGAGTATAAATCAGTGGTCAGCTATATCAGCAAATTCAGCTTTATTTCATCCATTAATCAATGCATTTTGATGTTATTTATTGTTTCTTTTTCTATTTATTTTTGTGTAAATACCAATTTTCATCTTGCTAAGAGTGCTTGTCTGTGTATTTGTGTTCTTTTTTTGTTGTACATATTGCATTGTGATATTTTGTATACTGCGCATTTGGGAATGTTCCCAGCCTGTTAGCTTGGACATTTACATGTCCACATTGCTTCTGTGTTTTTTTTTAAGTATCATAACTTTGAACTCTCTTCAGATTCAATTAAACTGAATGCCTGTACAAATGCTAGCTTCCTTTTGTCATTTCATTTAACTGTCTATTTAATAACGTAGTAAATGTTATGGGTCTTTAACAAGGATGTACATTATATTACATTCTGTATGGACCAAGACTGCATTTTGACACAGAGTGCAGAGTGGGTTTCTACCACTAGAGGTCACCATGGTTACACTACTATAAATTAGCATTACAGTTAATATACAGCAATGATTCGCAACCAGGGGTACCAGAGGCGGTACCTATGCAGTTACCAAAAGGTGCATGGAAACATTGTGTTGTAGCTCGACTAGTGTGAAATAATAAATACATAAAGTTTTGCTTACAATACACAGAGGCAATTTATCTATTGAGTCATCTGTTACTTGAACACAAGGTGATGCAACTTTAAGTGCATGAAAAGTAGTTGAGCAAATAAGTCCACACAGTTAGCTAAAAGTAATGGATAGAATGTTGAAAGTGATGAATATTAACTAGTTAGCTAAAAGCAGTGTTGTTTTACTTGATCTCAAGATCAAGGCCACTCCAGATCAAGACTAAGACCGCTTTGTGAAAGTCTCGGCCCTGTCTCAGACTCGACCACATTTTTACTTACTTGTCTCAGTCTTAAACAAAGAGACAAAGAGGACTCAGTTTTGCTGTTTTTTTCCCTTCAAGACTGGTGAAGACCTCAACTGCGGGGATATCACTTAACTGCCTGTATTAAAGTGCCTTTAGTGTTATTTGTTTGTATTTGTTTGCTCACAGAAAACAAAGGAAAATTCCAACACATAAAATTTTCCTCAGGAATCCTCATTTATTCCCTGTGGGCATTTTTATGAGAATGTGTGTCTTTCATATCAGTTTGAGAAGAACCTATGGTTTGCATGTTCCATTTTTTATCGTGTGTGTCATGCAATGTGGGACTCGTACTGGCCTGGTTGTGGTCTTGACTTGGTCTCAACCCCTAAAAGTCTTGGTCTTGATACACTCTGCTCTTGGTTATGTGTTGTACTTGGTTTCGATGGTCTTGACTACAACACAGGCTAAAAGTAATGGCTATATGTTTGAAACAGCTATAAGTCCAGAGTCTGCCACTGGTAGTGCAAATGCAAATTTGACCAAACTAAACTAAACATTGACAGTTTATTTGAATAAAAATATAATGTAACAATATTGTAAAATACTGTAACAATTATATGAAAACATATTGTAAATAGTGTTAAATAATATCAAGTTAATGATAAG